ATTGCATACTACATATACCAAATATAAATTTAAGAAATTTGCTGTATATTTCACACTTCCACAATTTTACATCAATGTGTAAACAAGCAGATCCTTTCCCGCGCTCTCAATAAATTAACAAGTTCGGTATAATGTAGTTGTATTTCCACAATTGGTGAATGTAAATGATCAGGCAAGTCAACAAAATAGTGCATTTTTTTGTCTGCTTATGAGGCCTTAGCAATAATGAAACTTTTTGCCCACTAACACAATCTAAATCAAAGTACACGCTAAGAAGCCCTCTTGAGCGTAAAATAGCACTCACTGTTGTTGAAATACACAAAGTAAATAACTCAAATGTTGGCATTAATTTAGATAATTATTTAATCATTTCAAATGGCAGGCTTTTAGATGGTCATCATTATCAGTTAAGCTGACTTCGGGCTTCACAGAGGGTGGGAACATCGAATTGAGAAAAATTTATAGAGGGGGGGAACAGAAAAGTGATTCAAATATGTAAAAGAGATAGACAGACACAAGGGCAAAAGAAAGGTAAGGTGAGAACTGAGAAAGTAGCGGAATATGACATACAGTAGGATCATACAGTAGGATTAAAAAAGACATATCAAACACCAAATAATGTACTTACTGAACCATTCAGACCTTGCAAACTTAATGCTGGGATTAAACAGCTCAAGTGCAAAAGATCTCTTTGCAAAGACGGTATTCATCCAAAATATCTAATTAGAAAGGGTCAAAAAGCCCCCTATGTAACCTACAGGAGGAAATGGAGAAGACCCACCTGATTCGGTGTCTAGCAATAAAGACAACTACGGAAAGCCAGAGATACTGGGACGCATGAAGATAGCTAATGAACTGCTATTAGTTAACTGCTATAAATGTACCCTTCACCCTTGGGGGAAGCTGATGTCAAAGATTTAGGGCTAATGATAAATATCATAAAGCCCGCCATTTGAAATAATTATCGTGCATGGACGAAGGCAAGTATTATACAAGGGTCATTTTCTAACTTTATTATTTCATAATATCTCTTCTCTTGTTTTAGAAATGCACTTTACCTGCTCATTCTTGAAACATTCAGCAAATCTTAAAATGTTCAGGGCAACTTAATTTACAATAAAAAATATAAAATTTACTGCTGTTAAAATAAATTATTTGTGTAATATAAATGACAATATGGTAAGAGTGATGAGCACTCATTTAACTATATAACAATCCCTAGAAAAATATAAATAAAAAAATTTTTCCATATATGTGGCGTGTGATAGACATACCTTCACGTGGTGATCCCTGGGCAATGCATACTCATACGGTTGATTTTAAACTACCATGATCCTACTGTATGTCATCTTCCGCTAGTTTCTTTGTGATATTTATTATTAGCCCTTAAACTTTGATTTCAGCTTCCCCCAAAGGTGGGGGTTACATAAGCTTTGACTTCAGCTTCCCCCAAGGGTGGGGGGTACATATGTTGACTTCAGCTTCCCCCAAGAGGGGGGGGGTACATTTAAAGCAGTTAATTAATAGCAGTTCATTAGCAGTCTTCTTGCTTACCTTAATCTTTGACTTCAGCTTCCCCAAGAGGGGGGGGGGGTACATTTATAGCGGTTATTAACACAGCCCATGGGTGGGGGTTACATATAGAGCAGTTAATTAATAGCAGTTCATTAGCTGTCTTCTTGCTTTCCAGTATCTCTGGCTTTCCATCGGTGTCCTTAGGGCTGGACACCGAATCTGGTGAGTCTTCTCCATTTCCTCCTACAGTTTACATAGGAGGCATGTGGGTTGGGTGTATACACCTAATCTGTGAAGATGTTTTGCCAAGCAATTGTGTCCGGTACGTAGTCTAAACTCAGCAACGGCTGCGAATCTTGGCCAGTCGGCTATGACGGAAAGTGCCGTTGTTCGAGCTTTGAGTTCATTGACCCTTGAGGATCTATCTCCTGTGTTCGAGCTTTAATTTCGTTGCACCTTGAGGTATGTATTCTCTAAGCTTTGAGTTCGTTGAACCTTGAGGTCTGGAATTCTCTCTTGGAAAGACATCGGCCGGTCCATGCATTGCAAAATCGTTGCCCCCTTCTTAGCAACTGTGTCAGCAAGCTTATGGCCTTTAATGTCACAGTGACCAGGAATCCATTGTAGGACCTCTGTTTAGTGTTTCTCGCTCAGCAGCTGATAGAACATTCCTTTATCTCAGCTGTTTTGGGTGTCTCTCTGTTTGCTTTGTTTGTTTTTCTCTCTCAGCAACTGTGTTTTTCTTTCTCAGCAGCTGATAGAGTTTTCTACATTCTAGTATCTCAGCTGTTTTGGGTGGCTCTCTGTTTCCAATAGAGTCCTCAGCTGTTTTGGGTGTCTCTCTGTTTCCAATAGAGCCTTAGCTGTTTTGGGTGGCTCTCTGCTTCCAATTGAGTTTATTCCTCCGCAGCTCATAGAGTTTTCTACATTCCTTTATCTCAGTCTCTTTCCAATTGAGTTTATTGCTGACTGTGAGTCCAAAAGTCTGTTACAATAGAGTCTATTGCTGACTGTGAGTCCGGAAGTATCACTGCTTTGGTGAATTTCGTATCCAGGCAACATAATTGTCAACCGCTTTGGTGAATTTCGTATCCAGACAACATAATTGGAATAGTGCTATCCTAATGGCCACTATTTGGCCTTTAAAAGCTGATCTATTCTGTCTCGCTGCTGCAAAGAAAGAGAAGAGTTCCGAATAGACATCCGCACCAACGTTTGCTTGGCTTTCTATGTATGACCCATCAGTGAAGACTTGTTGGCATTGATCTCCAGGATAGTTGACATTGATTGTCTCAAGGGCCAGTGAGCGCATTTGCTCTGGAGGTGTGTTTGATTTCCTGAAGAAGTCAAGCAGTTGGGTGCAACACACTAAATCAGTGTCTGCTAATGAGTTCATGGGTAGTGAGAGGCTTTTTGGTTTGTCATCGATTTGTAATGCTTTCTTCAGTTCTATGGCTTTCTGTATTAGACCAGATTGCGTTTTCAAACGTCTTGGTCTATTGGCATAGTTGCTGAAGAACTTATCCATGAAAATGCGCAGTAGCTTCTCATAGAGGATCAAGGCCTTTTCTTTGATAAGGGAACATATTGTGCTGCTTCCTGTAAATAAGAGCATTACATCAATAGGTGTCGATTATAAGCCCCCCCCCAGTAATAAGTCGTAATGCTTGGTTGTGTGCCTTCTCGAGGGGTTTGAGAGTCACCTCTGTGGCTCTAATGAGTGGCTCACAGCAATACAACATTATTGGCTGAATAAACATCTTGTAAGTGGTGTTTAGAGTTGAGCGCGCACAGCCCCATACACTACCAGCAAGACGCTTCAGGACATTCAGTCTATTGGAGACCCGTTCTGCTATTTTAGCAATATGACTTTTCCGCGTTAGCTTTGTGTCAAAGGTCATTCCGAGATATGCGAACTCATTGGTTTTTTCTAGGGTAGTATGCTTGTACCTTCAAAGCGGGTTTATGCTGTTACGGGCAAAAAAAAAGTTTGGAATGCCGATTTTCTGGTGTTAATTACTATTCCATTTTTGTCGCACCAGTTTGCTAGTAGTTTACTGCACAATTTAGGGCACTCTCTGTCCTCTCTCAAGCGTTTTTCTAAGGGGCGGAATGTCATAGAACAAGATCATCTGCATAAAGTAAGCCGTTGATACCCATGACAGTCTGTACCAATTCGACTATGTCGTTGATGAAGACATTGAAAAGAGTACAACTTGTGATAGCTCCCCGTGGGAGGTCTGTTTGTAAAAGATTGGATTTCAATGGAACATTTCCATATCTGAATTCACATGATCTTTGTCCAATGAATGCTTTTATCTAGTTTTGCATGTTATGCTTAATACCAATCTTTGCTAATTTATTATCCAATTTAGCATGTTATGCTTAATTCCAATCTTTGCCAATTTTCAAAGTAGCTTCTCTTTCCATACTAAGTCATATGCTGATTTGAAGAACTTCTCTTTCCATACTAAGTCATATGCTGATTTGAAATCACTTTCCATACTAAGTCATATGCTGATTTGAAGTCTACGAAAATAATACCAATCTTTGCCAATTTTAGAATTAGCTTCTCTATCGGTCATATGCTGATTTGAAGTCGACGAAAACAGCCGTAAGATTTATCCAATTTAGCATGTTATGCTTAATTCCAATCTTTGCCAATTTTCAAAGTAGCTTCTCTTTCCATACTAAGTCATATGCTGATTTGAAGCAGCCGTAAGGGTATTTCTTGCATCAATGTTGGGAGAAAGTGGCTACTTGTTGGTTCGTTGATCATTGTGACCTAAAAATTGGGAGAAAGTGGCTACTTGTTGGTTCGTTGATCTTTGCAGCCTTAAACTTGCTTGATCACTCCTTTGAATATTGTTGGTCTCAAGGAACCAAGACGGCCTTCTGTTAACCATTCTTTCCATAAGTTTAGTCAGCACGCTTGTGAGGGAGATAGGCCTATAGTTGCCAAAGTTGCTAGGGTCTTTGTTTTTTTAGAACTGGTATTACTATAGCAACTTCCCATTGGTTAGGTAGGAGACTGTATTGGCCGGTGCTCCAAATCACAGATATATTCTTATTAGCTGACATGACATCGGTTACAAACTTATCTACGCAATTGCAGAGCATAATTTCAGCCCTCCAATTAATTTGAACTACTTGAACATTAGATTTTTCTGTCCATTTTCTCCCATATTGGTCGCCTGAAGTGCATAGATATTTTGCCAAGCAATCGTGTCCGGTACGTAGTCAAAACTCAGCAACGGCTTCGATTCTTGGCCAGTCAGCTATGTCGGAGAGTGTTACCGTCCACTCTGTCTTCTTTATTCGAACTTCAATTTCGTTGCAATAAAAAATAAATTTCGTTATTCTATTTTTGGGTGCAACAGCAGTGCACATTACCTAAACGTTTGTTATGGACCTTTTAACGGTTTTCTTTACTTAATCTCAATTTGTGAATACTGTGATAAAACAATAAATTGACAATCATTGTGAGCTTTTTTATGAATTAAAGTATCTTTGGTTTTCTTCACTACAATGAAATAAAGCGCATCTGTTTTTCCAAGTTTAACAAAACAGCTTTAGCAACCAATAATTTAATTTAACTAATATGCTAAGTTACATTTGTTTGCCAAGGGACGCATTCGATATTATATGGTTATGAAACATTCTTAGTTCACTCACATTCTCAAGCGGTCAACTTACTTCATTGGTATATCATAGATCTTAGTGACCTTGTTTATCTGGAAGCCAATTAAATATTGAGGTATAATTTAATGATTGCTTCCTAAAACTACTTCATTCCAAGGAAAAACTATAAAAGCAATGCGAAAACTCATGATATATATTGATACCTGATAAAATATTAATGCTTGTTTGGCCTTTTATTTTGACTTTGCTGCAAATAACTGTTCCTTTTGGAGCACATAGTTCCGATTTGGCGGATTCTACATGCTCAAGACTCGTCACGAAAACGAGTGAGAGAACGGACACAATGGTATTTACTGTAGGCCAATTGCTAGTAAGTAACTGTTTATTCCTTTAAGTTCTCAAATTATTGCCACTTTTAGTTTATAATGATGAATTCGGATGAAATCGTCATTGAAAATGGTGCTTGCAATGTGAAAGGCAAATCGATAGGGAAGCCCTGTAGTGCGACTCCTGGTAAAGAATTCCAATTTGCCCTTAAGGTATTTAATCGTCAAATTTACAATAGATTAC